ATCACAAATGAGCAATAAAAACTGGCCCGTATGATCCATTTTGCTTCATATAATGCTGCGTTTTGCTTCATATGATGCTAAATGCATCATATGGGCCAGATTTCTGTATTTTCTGTATTTTGAACGATCGTTTTTGGGTGGAGTTTTCCTTTAAGTAAAAATACAAAAGTAGTTTTTTGGGGGTATCTATACTTTACTATTGATACACTGAACAAAAATCTAAAACGCAACATGCAACAATTTAAAAGATTTTACTGAGTTACAGTTCATATAAGGAAATCTGTCAATTGAAATAAATAAATTAGGCCCTAATCTATGGATTTCACATGACTGGGAATACAGATATGCATCTGTTGGTCACATATAACTTTAAAGAAATGTGGGGAGTGGATTAGAAAACCAGTCAGTATCTGGTGTGACAATCATTTGCTTCATGCAGCGGGACACATCTCCTTCACATAGAGTTGATTATGGCCTGTGGAATGTTGTCCCACTCCTCTTCAATGAATGTGCGAAGTTGCTGGATATTGGCGGGAAATGGAACACGCTGTCGTACACGTCGATCCAGAGCATCCCAAACATGCTCAATGGGTGACATGTCTGGTGAGTATGCAGGCCATGGAAGAACTGGGACATTTTCAGCTTCCAGGAATTGTGTACAGATCCTTGCGACATGGGGCCGTGCATTATCATGCTGAAACATGAGGTGATGGCTGCAGATGAATGGCATGACAATGGGCCTCAGGACCTCGTCACGGTATCTCTGTGCATTCAAATTGCCATCGATAAAATGCAATTGTGTTTGTTGTCCGTAGCTTATGCCTGCCCATACCATAACCCCACCGCCACCATGGCGCACTCTGTTCACAACGTTGACATCAGCAAACCGCTCGCCCACATAATGCCATACTGCCCGGTACATTTGAAACCGGGTTTCAGCCGTGAAGAGCACACTTCTCCAGCATGCCAGTGACCATCGAAGGTGAGCATTTGCCACTGACGTCGGTTACGATGCCGAACTGCAGTCAAGTGAAGACCCTGGTGAGGACGACGAGCATGCAGATGAGCTTCCCTGAGACGGTTTCTGACAGTTTGTGCAGTAATTCTTCGGTTGTGCAAACCCACAGTTTCCTCAGCTGTCCGGGTGGCTGGTATCAGACGATCCCGCAGGTGAAGAAGCCAGGTGTGGAGGTCCTGGGCTCGTGTGGTACACTTGGTCTGCGGTTGTGAGGACAGTTGGATGTACTGCCAAATTCGTACAAATGACATTGGAGGTGGCTTATGGTAGAGAAATGAACATTCAATTATCTGGCAACAGCTCTGGTGGACATTCCTGCAGTTAGCATGCCAATTGCACACTCTCTCAAAACTTCAGACATCTGTGGCATTGTGTTGTGTGACAAAACTGTACATTTTAGACTGGCCTTTTATTGTCCCCAGCACAAGATGCACCTGTGTAATGATCATGCTGTTTAATCAGCTTCTTGATATGCCACATGTCAGCTGGATGGATTATGTTGGCAAAGGAAAAATGCTCACTAACATTTTGTGCACAAAATGTGAGGGAAATAAGCTTTTTATGCGTATGGAAAACTTCAGCTCATGAAACATGGGACCAACACTTTACATGTTGCGTTTATATTTTTGTTCAGTATATTTTTGGCAACTTTTAATCCATTACATCCCTAAAGAAAATGTGCTTTTAACTCCCATACATTTTCCCTGGTACCAAAAAGTACTTGTTACATTTCGAATGCTCAGACAGGACAGAATTATGGTCCAATTCACGCACTTATAATGAATTGTCATCCTTACTGCCTCTGATCTGGCAGACTCACTAAACAGAAATACTGCGTTTGTAAATTGTCGGAGTGTTGGAGTGTGCCCCCGTCTGTCCGTAAAAGAAATATCTACTAGCATTTACTTTGACTTTTACTCAAGTATGACAATTGAGTACTTTTTCCACCACTTCTCGCTTGTTTTGTTGATTTCATATTGATGTCACATTATTTGGCAATTCAATCAAATATCAAATTAAAACTAGACGCCAAACGGATGTACTTCGCCCACTGGGTAGCTCATGGCAACTTATTAAGGCATTTAGCAGTAATGACTAGAGAAGTGTCAGTCATAGTAATGAATCTGAATGAGAGCCAGCACCTACCTGTCTGATTTGGAGTCAGTCGAATGACGTTTCACAGAATGGCTGGGCTTGGAGTCAGTGGAGTCCTTTCTACAACAACGAGAGAGAGAAAAACCTGTCACCTTGTGCCACTGCGGTCTGTTCATCTGAGTGAGTGTGAGATATTGAGAGTGAAGAGGTAAAGCTTTTAAATGATATTTTACTTTCATTTGACCATTTTACTACTACTACTCCCAACTGATCAGCAACAGCAGTGGTAACTCCCGGGTGCTGTTCTCTACTGTGAGCAAGCTCCTTCAACCTGTGAACAATTCTGCTACCTCAGCCTCCCCAGAACGGTCCAATCAATACATTTGTTTCTTCCAAAGCAAAATTGAAAACATCAATAACACCATCCTGTCCTCTCCAGCCCCTGTAGTTGATCTACACAGTCCTACGCTCCCTGAGTCAAGGTTCTCCACCTTCACCACAGTCACTGCAGCTGATGTAACCAAGCTGGTTAGAACAATGAGGCCCACCACTTGCTCACTTGACCCTATCCCCACATCCCTTGTCAAGGTCTGGTTACCTGCTCTGGAGCCTTTTTTTACAGATATCATCAACAAGTCCCTCACCACTGGATGTGTCCCTGCACAGCTCAAACTGTCCACAGTCACACCAGTACTTAAAAAGCCTGGATCTGACCCTGACAACCTCCAGAACTACAGGCCTATCTCCAATCTGCACTTCCCGAGTAAGCTCGTCTAGCCAACTCCAACAACATCTTGCCACTCACAACCTACTCGAGCCCTTCCAGTCTGGTTTCAGACACAGAGACTGCCTTGGTAAGGGTCACCAATGACCTCCTCATGAATGCGGACTCTGGGGCTGCCAGCATCCTCATACTGCTGGACCTCAGTGCAGCATTTGACATGGTCAGCCATGCCATTCTGATGGACCGCATGGAGAAGCTACTGGGTCTGTCAGACACTGTCCTGGACTGGTTCAGATCCTATCTCACTGATCCGCCAGGGGGTCCCTCAAGGCTCGGTCCTAGGGCAACTACTGTTTTGAATCTACATGATGCCACTGGGAAACATGGACTGGGCTTTAACTTTTATGCTGACGACACTCAGCTGTATATCTCCACAAACACTGCCAATGCCACTGCATTCCTGGTCAGTTGCCTGCAGGACATCAAAGTGTGGATGCAGCGGAGTTTCCTGCAGTTAAACTGCAAAAAGACAGAGGTCGTCCTGATTGGCACTCGCATCATCGACTAAATCAGCAGCTACAGCCTCACCATTGATGGTGTCAAGGTCCTCCCCTCCAGTGAAGTTCGCAATCTGGGTGTGATATTTGATAGTCAGCTCTCGTTTGAGGGCCACATCAAAAGTGTTACCAAAGTAAAAACAATTCCATCTACGGAACATTGCCAGGTTACGACCTATGCTATCACAGCCTGCAGCTGAGCAACTCATCCACACCTTTATCTTATCTTGTCTGGACTATTGTAATACCCTGTTTGTTGGCAAATCTGACAAGTGCCTAAGAAGGCTACAATATGTCCAGAACTGTGCTGCACGTGTCCTCACCCACACCTCCCCCCATGAGCACATCACTCAAGTGCTGTTCAACCTCCACTGGCTCCCCATATGCTCACGCATTGACTTTAAAAATCCTGGTTCACATCTACCAAGCTATCCACAACTCTGGACCCAAGTATCTGTCTGACCTCATCCTACCCTCCTGCCCCACACACACCCTTCGCTCCTCCGGGTCCATCTCCCTTCAGCGGTCCCACAGCAGACTAAAAACTATGGGTGACAGGGCTTTCAGTTGTGTGGCTCCTCGGCTGTGGAACGCACTTCCAGTCACTGTCAGGGCTGCAGAGTCTCTGGCCTTGTTTAAGGCACAGTTAAATGACTGAGCTGTTCAGAAAAGCTTTCAATGACCTATGTTAATTCTGTTATCCTGTTCACCGGATCGGACGACACCTGTATATACCATTGAGTGTTGTCTGCTTACAATGTTCTGTGTTTTGGATTGCTTTTATTATTTATTTATTTTAAATTCAGTGCCTTGGGTGTGAGAATTTTTTTATTTAATTAATTATTTTCCTTCAAAGTTCACTTCATTCAGGTTTAAAAGTGAGGTCAATAAGTGTTTTTAGAGTGAAGTTTAGTACATCCACAAATTATTGTGTACAGAATATGACCCTGCTTATTCAGACCTGTCTTTCTTGCCATCCAGATTTGGCCTTTTAGGAGGTTTTTGTTTGGAATCTGACGAGTCCAGACTCTGCCTTTTAGCAGGTTTTGGTTTGGAATCTGACAAATCCTTTCTGAAACAGGAAACATTTGTATGTAACATTTGCATGTAGTGCAGCCATGTCTGATTGGCAAAAAGCACACAGCATTCAGGGAGCAGGCATACTTCATCAAACAGCCTCACCAGCAGAGGGCAGACAAGATGACAAGATGGCGATGCACTGATAAATATGCACACATACAGTATTTCCCTATGAAGACCTCTGCTCCAATGAAAAGGTTAACAAACAATTCTCTAATATCACCAAATATACAACCACAACTTATGTCAGTGGGATTCAACTTAAACAAGCACATAGGCCCACATGCAGTGTATAATTATGCATGCAACTGTGTACTATGGCTTGCCAACCTTTCTTTCTTGGCATCAACAGATGGTCTTTTGGGCACTTTGCTATCTGAGTCTTTTCTGCAAAAGGAGAGCGGTTAGCAGCGTTTAGCAACTGTTCTCATAATAATAATCTCATTTAACCAAATTACATCATCATCATCATCATCATCCGCATTTAGAGAATGTCATGATAAATACAGTGCCTTCGGAAAGTATTCAGACCCCTTGACTTTTTCCACATTTTGTTATGCTACCGCCTTATTCTAAAATGGATTAAATAAAATAAAAATCCTCAGCAATCTGCACACAATACCCCATAACGACAAAGTGAAAACAGGTTTTTAGAAATGTTTGCACATTTATTACAAATAAAAAACAGAAATACCTTATTTGCATAAGTATTCAGACCCTTTGCTATGAGACTCGAAATTGAGCCCAGGTGCATCCTGTTATCATTGATCATCCTTGAGATGTTTCTACAACTTGATTGGAGTCCACCTGTGGTAAATTCAATTGATTGGACATGATTTGGAAAGGCACACACCTGTCTATATAAGGTCCCACAGTTGACAGTATATGTCAGAGCAAAAATCAAGCCATGAAGTCGAAGGAATTGTCCATAGAGCTCCGAGACAAGATTGTGTCGAGACACAGATCTGGGGAAGGGTACCAAAACATTTCTGCAGCATTGAAGGTCCCCAAGAACACAGTAGCCTCCAACATTCTTAAATGGAAGAAGTTTGGAACCACCTAGACTCTTGCTAGAGCTGGCCGCCCGGCCAAACTGAGCAATCGGGGGAGAAGGGCCTTGGTCAGGGAGGTGACCAAGAACAAGATGGTCACTCGGACAGAGCTCTAGAGTTCCTCTGTGGAGATGCGAGAACCTTCCAGAAGGACTCCTGCTTGGAGTTTGCCAAAAGGCACCTATAGATTTTCAGACCATGAGAAACAAGATTCTCTGGTATGATGAAACCAAGATTGAACTATTTGGCCTGAATGCCAAGTGTCACGTCTGGAGGAAACCTGGCACCATCCCTACGGTGAAGCATGGTGGAGGAAGCATCATGCTGTGGGGATGTTTTTCAGCGGCAGAGACTGGGAGACTAGTCAGGATCAAGGCAAAGATGAATGGAGCAAAGTACAGAGAGATCCTTGATGAAAACCTGCTCCAGAGCGCTCAGGACCTCAGACTGGGGAGAAGGTTCACCTTACAACAGGACAACGACCCTAAGCACACAGCCAAGACAACGCAGGAGTGGCTTCGGGACAAGTCTCTGAATGTCCTTGAGTGGTCCAGCCAGAGCCCGGACTTGAACCAGATCTAACATCTCTGGAGAGACCTGAAAATAGCTGTTCAGCGACGCTCACGTTCCAACCTGACATAGTTTGAGAGGATCTGCAGAGAAGAATACAGGTGTGCCACGCTTGTAGCGTCATACCCAAGAAGACTCAAGGCTGTAATCACTGCCAAAGGTGCTTCAACAAAGTACTGAGTAAAGGGTCTGAATACTTATGTAAATAATTTATTTTATTTTCATATTTTTAGCAAATTAGCAAAAATGTAGGTAAAAACCCATTTTTGCTTTGTCATTATGGGGTATTATGTGTAGATTGATGAAGAAAAAAAACTATTTAAATCAATTTTAAATAAGGCTGTAACCTAACAAAATGTGGAAAAAGTCAAGGGGTCTGAATACTTTCCGAAGGCACTGTATAACAGGAACTATTAACGGACTGTTGGATACTATATTTACTATATTTATCATTACATCAGGAACATGTACTGAAAAGGCTATACACAATTGAGCACACTCAACATGAATGAGGTAGTATGATTTACAGATCCCAGACCTGTCCTTTTTCACATGGTCAGATGATGTCACCTTCAGAGAAACGGGTTTGTAATCTGACGACTCTTTTCTGGGTAGCAAATGGCAAAGAAAGTGATGTTTGAAACTTCACAAAGAAAAGCAACAAAAATGCTTAGTATCGAAATGAATAGAATCCATTAAGCGTATCTGTCAATAGGAGCAGTTCAACAATGTCACAGAGAATAAACATTGCCGAGACTCAAAAGTAACCACACAAAAAAAACAACCATGCAACATCACAGCGACCCTGACCTCTCCTTTTTGACTTCCACTGACGGGCGCTTCACAGAAGGGGGAGGATGGAGATGGAGAGGAAGAGGAGCAAAAGGAGCATTGGGGTCCGGAGGCTCTTTTCTAACCACCTGAGCCACAGAAATCTGCAGAGGCTCTTTTCTAAATGTAAAATATTATTTTCAATCATCACTACTATTCATCATTACTATCGATAGTATAGTAGCACACTCATGTTTCAAGTTTTATTAGTCGTATATAAGATATACACATGCACCATCCAACGAAATGCTTACTTGCAGGCAGTGGTGTAAAGTACTTAAGTAAAAATACTTTAAAGTACAACATAAGTAGTTTTTTGGGGGTATCTGTACTATTTATATTTTTGACAACTTTTACTTCACTACATTCCTAAAGAAAATGATGTACTTTTTACTCCATACATTTTCCCTGACACCCAAAAGTACTCGTTACATTTTGAATGCTTAGCAGGACAGGAAAATGGTCCAATTCACACACTTATCAAGAGAACATCCCTGGTCATCTCTACATCTCTACTGCCTCAGATCTGGCGGACTCACTAAACACAAACGCTTCATTTGTAAATTATGTCTGAGTGTTGGAGTGTGCCCCTGGGTATCAGTAAATATTAAAAAAAACAAGAAAATGGTGCCGTCTGGTTTGCTTAATATAAGACAATTTGAAATAATGTATACTTTTACTTTTGATACTTAAGTATATTTTAGCAATTACATTTACCTTTGATACTTAAGTATATTTAAAACCAAATACTTTTACTCAAGTAGTATTTTACTGGGTGACTTTCACTTTTACTCAAGTAATTTTCTATTACGGTATCTTTACTTTTACTCAAGTATGACAATTGCGTACTTTTTCCATCACCGCTTGCAGGTTACTTCAACAATGCAACAACAATAAGAAATAACAAAAGATAAGAATACGAAGGAACATAAAGTAAATGGCTCAGTAGAATAGAATAAACATTTTAGCATAAGTATAATACAGGAAGCACAATTTATACTGTAGTCCAATATGTCTTGTGAAAAAATATATAGTTTATGGAAAAAAATAAAGAAAAGAAAAGCTGACTCTGACCTCTCCTTCTTGACCTCTGCTGCAGTGGGCATAGAAGGATGAGGATGAAGAGGAGGAAGCGGGGCATTAGGGTCAGGAGGAGCTTTTTTCCTAAATGAAAAACCAACAGACTAAATAATCTATTGCAATTCTGAAAACTTTAGTCATTTTCTGTGTATCGCTGACAGTTTTCATCAAAAAAGGAGGAACATGCACATAGTTGCAATGTTTTTGACTTTGCTGTGCTGTATAAAGTATAACCTATGATAACAAAACAAATAGTAAAACAGTGATTTCAGGGCAGATTTCACTGTGTCAGATCATCACCTACCTCTGTTTTATCAAACACAAACTATGGACCATTATACACAACTCAGTCTATTCACAAACAGCATGCCCTCTGACCTCTCTTTCTTCACCTTCACTGAGGTATGTCTGGATGGAGGGGTGGGACGAGGGTGAGGACGAGAAGGAGACAGAGTGTCTGAAGAATCTCTCCTGAATGGAAATCGAAATATTCCAAATGAAATCAGAGAAAGACCATGCTTTCCAGAACTAATACAACCAGCACAAATCGAAAGATTAACGAAAGCATGCATAATTGACCATGATCACACCGTGCACCATGCAGAAGTGGGTGCTGGGTAAGTCACTCTTCAAGTTACTACCCACTGGGCACAAACTGGTTGAATCAACGTAATTTGTCAACATATTCTGACATGGAATCAACCACAGATTATGTCATCATTGTAACGAATACTCAAGATAGACAAACCTTGTATAAAATGTGTTGAATTTGAAACTGTGAAACAACATCACTATATCCACTATGAGAAAATAAAACAATAGGCTGGCTACCACCTCCTAATGGAGAATTGATCTATCTACAGCTATTAATTTGGTCTCCCATCCAGGGTTTTAACCAATCCCAGCCCTGCTTAGCTTTGATATTTGTCACTGACAACTACCAATATGCTATCGTGAAAATGGTTATTGAGAGAGCTCTTAATTACTACATACACTGAGTATACCAAACATTTGGTACACCCTCGTAATTTTGATTACATTTGGTACACCCCCCCTTATATAGTGTAAAAGGACACACACAGGTGTCTGTAATCATGGCCGGGTGTGGCCTTATATCATTGGTTAATTCACAGATAAACAGAACATACAAAAAACATGAATGGATAGCATACGATCATAAATACAATTTGGCTACATAGGCCTACAAACATTTACAATGAATAGCAAAATCAAAATAATCACCAGAATGGCTTCAGATCAAAGTCTATGTTGAGACCGAAGGGAGCAAGGGTCTTTAAATTAAAGATCCAGGCAGCCTCTCGTTTTAACAATAAGTTGTCGGGGTCACCCCCTCTCCTAGGGAGTGGTTCGCTTCCAAAAAAGTGGGCCGTGACTGGGTACGTCAAGTTTTTGCACCTAATGGTGCTACGATGCTCCGAGATTCGTACTTTTAATTCATGCTTTGTTTTACCCACATCATTTTTACCACAAGGACAAGTTATAAGATAAATAACTGCCTTAGTGGAGCACGTGATAACACCTTTTATTGGGATTTGTTTCCCTGTTTGGGGGTGTTTGAAGGATCTACATTTGTAAGTGCCATTGCATTGAGCGCAACCATTACACTTGTAGTTTCCATCCGGTTGAGGCGCAAATAGACGTGCAGGGATATTTTGGGGTGGTAAATCAGAGTTTACCAATTGATCTCTGAGATTTCTGCCCCGCGAGAATACGACCAAGCGAGGGTCCGAAAACACATTACCGATACTGTCATCGGATCTTAGAATGTGCCAATGTTTGTGAACGATTCCCTTAATTTGTTCAGAGCACTTTGAATAGCATGTAGTTAGAACGCAAGAATGCTTCTTTTTGCGAGACTGTCCTTGAAAAAGATCACGTCTCGATTTGTTTTGAATTTTCTCAATGGCAGTATTAATCTGACCATTTTTGTACCCCCCTCCTTGAATTTTCTTTACGTCTCAGCCATATTTCTGTCGAAATCTTGATAGTTTTTTGCAAATTCTTTTGATTCAACAGAATTGGCTGTAGGGCAAACTGTTTTTCAAGGGAAGCTATCAGCCCTCAACAAACTGTTCCAATCAGTAGGTTTCCTGTGTTTAGAACATTATCCTCACAAAAAATCAGACGATCAAGGAAACTAATTTGACGTGTGTCAGATTGCATAGTAAATCTCAGGTGCTCAGAACAAGAGTTAAGAAAAACATGGAATGACTGGGGCTGTTTTGAATCACCCCTCCATAGAACAAAAATATCATCAATGTACCGTTTCCAAATAATAATGTTAGGCAAGAAAACATTTTTGAGAGGATTGAAAATTGACTGTTTCTCCATGTAACCCACATACAAATTAGCAGTTAGGAGCCATAGGGGATCCCATAGCAGTACCCTTCATCTGAATAAAGAAATCATTTAGAAACATGAAATAGTTGTGTGTGAGTTGGCTGGATGTCCTTTGTGTGGTGGACCATTCTTGATACCCACGGGAAACTGTTGAGTGTGAAAAACCTAGCAGCGTTGCAGTTCTTGACACAAACCGGTGCACGTGGCACCTACTATCATACCCCGTTCAAAGGCACTTAAATCTTTTGTCTTGCCCATTCACCCTCTGAATGGCACACATACAATCCATATTTCAATTGTCTCAAGGCTTAAAAGTCCTTTAACCTGTCTGCTCCCCTTAATCTACACTGATTTAAGTGGATTTAACAAGTGACATCAATAAGGGATAATAGCTTTCACCTGGATTCACACGGTCAGTCTATGTCATGGAAAGAGCAGGTGTTCCTAACGTTTTGTATACTCAGTGTATATTCACTGTTGCTATCAAAATCATTCCAAAGGGTAGGTTTAACAGAGCAAATGAAATGTAACCATACTTTATAAGTCATATATCATCAATTATATATTTAGGCCTGTATAGCATTTGAAAAGTCATCAACATTGTTTCAATTAAACCCAGGGTTCAACTAAAATAGACAATACATATAGGCCTAGGGTTTCACGCTTTGGTTGACTTCTAATTTCATCTTCAAGTTAATCATTAATATGTTGGATTCACGTTTTTCCATCTCAACCAAAGATCCGATAAAAAAAATAGGACTAAATCAAATAAAACTTTAAATGCACTTTAAATAAAGTTTGATTTGATTTAGTCATATTCTTTAACTTTGATTCATGGTTGAGATGGAGAAGTGAATCCAACATATCAATTATTCATTTGTAGACAAACTGGAATTAAAGCCAGACTAGTCAGTGGCACAAAAGACATGTCCTTCAAATGTTGATATTTGGTTGAGTTGACAATCAAACACAATTCAATATCACTTTTGCAATACAGTAAATAGCATATTAACTTGTCGACAAGTGTTAGAAATGATATGTTGGATTCACGTCTGCAACTAAACCAAAAATACAAGTTAAAGAATAGGATTAAGCCAGTGGCTCATATTAAACTATCCAAGCATTAGATATCCTTTAAAAATGTTGATATCTGATTGTGTTGACAACCAAACACAATTCAATATGACTTTTGTAATACAGTAAATAGCCTAAAGTTAAGGCTATTTTACAAACTAAAGTAACAGTATTTATTCAACCTTAACATTTTACTGCAATGGGCTAAAATCAGGGTCACACAGAGTGTTTCTTGGTAGTCTTAAACAAATCTACTTTGAAACAAAAGTATACACCTCACAGACATGGTTATGGGCTTAAAAAATAGAAGACACCTGTACCATGTCAGATATAGTGTTGAAATGTATCAAATGTTTAGTTTGCATCCCAATATTACACTTTATATACATCACAGAAGACTGAAATATAGCGTGGTCCTCTGTAGCTCAGCTGGTAGAGCAGGGCGCTTGTAACGCCAGGGTAGTGGGTTCGAACCCCGGGACCACCCATACACAAACATTTTTCGCTTTGGATAAAAGCGTCTGCTAAATGGCATATTATTATTATTATTATTATTATTATTATTATTATAATAACAAACCCGTTTGACATACAAACACCGGATACATTTTTTAAAATGAATTATGAAATTATGAAAAATATTAATAACATTCCACCCATGAGGCCACAAGGTCATTTGACTGCAGGAAAGGGCTACAATGAGTAACACATCTATGGCCACATTTTTAGGTTAGCCTACTGTAACTATACATGTATTTTTATGTAATCATAGAAAGTGTACAAGATAGCGTGCAAAGGTCGCAGTTCTGTGGAGATCTTCACAATTGCTATAATAATCTGTGAAGAATCTCTACAGCATTGAACACTTGCACTATGTACTTTTAATGTAATCTCAACTGCAATCCAGGGAATTTGGTTGTGCAATTAGATTAAGCACAGTGATAAAACATAAACAATTCTACAGCTGCACCATCGAGAGCATCCTGACTGGTTGCATCACCGCCTGGTATGGCAACTGCTTGGCCTCCGACCGTAAGGCACTACAGAGGGTAGTGCGTACGGCCCAGTACATCACTGGGGCCAAGCTTCCTGCCATCCAGTACCTCTATACCAGGCGGTGTCAGAGGAAGGCCCTCAAAATTGTCAAAGACTCCAGCCACCCTAGTCATAGACCATTCTCTCTGCTACCGCACGGCAAGCGGTACCGGAGTGCCAAGTCTAGGTCCAAAATACTTCTCAACAGCTTCTACCCCCAAGCCATAAAACTCCTAAACAGCTAATCATGGCTACCCGAACTATTTGCACTGCCCCCCCCCCACCCCATCTTTTTACGCTGCTGCTACTCTGTTAATTATTTATGCATAGTCACTTTAACTCTACCCACATGTACATATTACTTCAACTACCTCAACTAGCCGGTGCCCCCGCACATTGACTCTGCACCGGTACCCCCCTGTATATATAGCCTCCCTACTGTTATTTTATTTTACTTCTGCTCTTTTTTTCTCAACACTTTTTTGTTTTATTCTACTTTTTTATTTTAAAAAAATGCACTGTTGGTTAAGGGCTGTAAGTAAGCATTTCACTGTAATGTCTGCACCTGTTGTATTCGGCGCATGTGGCCAATACAATTTGATTTGATTTGATTAAATACTAAATATCTGACATTAAAATGGTTGAAAGCGCACTGATAACACATTTAGATGAGAACAATAATCTGACATTGTTTTTCCAATGGAATTTAGTTTTGCTTTTAGATGGTTGCAAGCATAGTGACAACGCATTGGGAATTCAACCAACTTCTGGCTGACTTTTTGAGTGGGTGAATAAAGGTTGAAATCTCATTGATCAACATCTCTACCAAATATTACCCAGATTTCCACGTTGAAATGACGTGGTGTGCCCAGTGGGTATGCTGTATGAACAAGTCAGTGAAACAACAAGGTTAGTGTGCAATCCACCTCAAGGGCTTCCAATATAAACATCTCAAACTGTAGCCTTATATCTGTACAAACTACTCATTCAGTAATGCACCAAAGCATCTGCTAATTAATACAGTGTTCTCAGAAAAGTTCCATGCGTTGACACCAGAGTATCTATCCATCCTGACCTTTCTCTCTCCTTCTTCACCCCTTTATTCATCTCCCCAGACATACGTCTGACAGGGGGAGGAAGGCGGGGTGGTCGGGGGGGTCGAGGAGGAGAGTAACAACAGGGGTAAAGATCGTCCAAGACGCTTCTCCTGAAAACACAACACATCCCTGAGGCCCAGCCCTGGTCCTCTCTAGACTGTATGGAATCAACTTAACAGAGGCACCTCTCACCTCTCAAACCCTTTTCTGTGGTTTTCAACAGGTCTCTCTTGTGGGGGTTCGTACATTGGTATCTCCTTTCTGCGTTCCTCTGTGTGTCTTTCGTTTCTCAGTTCATCTGCAAAACTCTCCCTTCTGGGTTTGTCTGAGTGGCTTTTATTTTTGGGTTCTTCGAAATGACTTTCTTTCTTGGGTTCTTCTAAATGTCTTTCTTTCTTGGGTTCTTGCACATGTCTTTCATTTTTTGTGTCATGTACAGGTACATGTCTTTCTTTTCTGGATTCTTCGAAGTGTCTCTCCTTTTTGGGTTCTTCTAAGTGTTGTTCTTTTTTGGAGTGTTCTACATGTCTTTCTTTTCTGGCATCTTTTGTATGTTTTCCATTTTTGGATTGTTCTGCATGCTGTTTGTTTTTGAATGCATCTGTATATCTCTCCCTTTTAAGGTCAACAGCTCTCTCGTCTTTTTTGTGTTCAACATTGGCCTTCTCTTTTCGCCGTTTGTCAGAGTATTCTTCCTTTTCAGATTCAGGATCTGAATCAGAAACATCCGGCCTCTTGTGACTATAGCAAAAAAACACAGACCACACCAGATGCCGTATCTTCCCCTTTTCTATGTTTACATTTTTGCCTTCACATGCAGGCAATGGTTTGAGTGTGTGCGAGTGCGTGTGTATGCACCTACCTGGTGTCTTTCTCTGAGGGGGACCTGACTGGGGACCCTGTGGATTTGTTGGAGTCAACCCCATTCTTCATCTCATTGGGCCTCTCAGTATTCTGAGTACGTGCAGCATCTAGGGGGCAAAGAGGGTTGAAAATGTTGTCTCTACATACTGCGTATACTGTAAAACGCAACTCCAGACAGCTCCACTGTCTGAAAGACAGTCTCCTACACTCCTACCCAGCAGTCTCTTCCAGTCCTTGATGAGGATCTTGGCCAGGGAAACGACCTCGTCGTCTGTGCAGTGCTTCCTGATTCCATTCACAGACATGCCGATCCTCGTTTCCTATTCAGTGGAGAGAATGGTTTGTTGCATGTGAACCTTGAAATAATGAGTTTACACTTCAATAATGAGTGCACACTTATCATTTGGAGTAGGCATAACTAGATAATCCATTCCCTGTTTGTGGAGAAATTGCACTGACTGCACTGTATTCCCCATGAATTTGATAATATTTCATGTTCAATGTAGAAGTAGCATAAAATATGAAACTTCTGTTCACCTAAATATTACATAACAGGTGAGTGGGATTTTCCTGCTGCTGGTCCTCTACCTGCAGAAGTTTCAGCGTCATGTTGAAGCTCTTCAGTTCATTCAGCAGGTCCAGGGCACCCTCCTATGTCCACAAACATGGAGATGATGGTATTGGAGGTTGTAGCCAACAGGGAGAGCAGCAAAATTATTTATTTTCATTACATATGTAGTACCAGGGGTGCAACTTTCACTGGGGATGGGGGGGACATGACCCCCCCACATTCTGAAATTGCATTTTTGTTGCCCCCCATTTTTATCATTGCATTGTGATACAAAAAGCAGCATCGGTGTGCTTTAGGACCATGCGGACGCCTCAGAGTGGTCGGGTAGGCTGTTTGGTGGTTTCAGCCGGCTGGATTTAGGACTGTGCAGACACCACAGAGCGTGCGAACAGAGGCAGCTGTTGTATGTGTGTGTTGTGCTTTTTCTCTGAGTTGTAAAAGCAAGCAGAGCAGAAACTGGCTACTCTTTATTTGACTGATGTAGCTGGCAAGGTAACTGCTGTTTGACTTAACAGGGAAAACAAGTATTTATTCCCAGAGCTGAGCTAGTAGTGTAACTGACATGTAACGTTAGCTAATGTTTCATCCCCCCTCGACTGAAGTTCTGTCTGAAGTGAATTAACTAACTTAGCTAGCTATCTAGCAGCCAGTTCAGCCTAGCTATCGGTCAGGTAGCAGTATCTAACAGCTGTTGTGTGTATGGAAATGTTTTGTAGCTTTTGTTTTGTCCCATTTCAACAGAAGTAAATTAACTTGGCTCGTTTTCACCAGTTGATGTACCATTAGAGCCAGCCAAAAGTTGGCTTACGTTAGATATTATTTTTGCCCCAATCACAGTCAGTATAGCAATGTAACATTATTGATCTGTCAGTTTCCCTAGCTAATTCCCTACTTTTCACACTGACAGTAATAAACAGCTCTAGAGGCTTCACTGTCATGGTGCACAGTCAGTACAGAACAATATTCTCATCATGTCTTAGCAGGATCAGACAGCCAGGGAAGACCAGTCTACGGAGCTCAGGTGAATTTTGCTGTAAATTACAACAATCAGTGAATGGATACAAAGTTCCATCTTGAGTTGATGGGTAGTCCACAGTCTGGGATCTGGGAATAATTGTCATTTAAATTATTGAACCATTGATTCTATTCTTGGATAATATAATGTATAAATGTACACCAAGGTAATTCTTTGTCATGCCTCATCTAAGCAGTATCAAATAGTGACAGGGGTCTCAGCACGGTCAGGCAACCAGGGAAGACCTGTCTGTGACGGCGCTAAAGTGAACTTTTGCAGATGCAAAAATTACAAAATGTATAAGAACAAATTTACTTACCTACTTCGGACAGCCCAAAAAATATATTTTACTAACAAATTCCAAGAATCCTTAAATAAAATAAAGTCAACTTGGAAAATCATCAATCAACTTTTGAATAAGAAAAAGGCATCTACAACTATTCCATCTCAATTTATTGTTGGAAATAAGACCTATAGTGATCCTGATGCTATTTAATGTGAATGTCGGTTCCTCTCTGTCAAAGAAAACTGAGAAAACTGATGGAAATCCCTTGAATTACAATAAGGGACATTTTCCTTCTCTGTTTCAGTTTGATCCTCCTGATATAATGGAGGTGAGGGAGGTAATTGGTAACTTAAAGATATTAGCAGCAGGTCATGATGAGATTGGTGCCTCTGGTGAAATCAGTGTCTTCCTCGATTACTGAGCCTCTAACGTACAGTACCAGTCAAAAGTTTGGACACACCTACTCATTCAATGGTTTTTCTTTATTTGTACTATTTTCTACATTGTAGAATAATAGTGAAGACATCAAAACTATGAAATAACACATATGGAATCATGTAGTAACCAAAAAAGTGTTAAACAAATCAAAATAGATTTTATATTTGAGATTCTTCAAAGTAGCCACCCTTTGCCTTGATGACAGCTTTGCACACTCTTGGTATTCTCTCAACCAGCTTCAACTGGAATGCTTTTCCAACAGTCTTGAAGGAGTTCCCACATATATTGAGCACTTGTTGGCTGTCTTTCCATCACTCTGCAGTCCAACTGATCCCAAACCATCTCAATTGGGTGGAGGTCGGGTGATTGTGGAGGCCAGGTCATCTGATGCAGCACTCCATCACTTTCCTTGGTCAAATAGCCCTTACACAGCCTGGAGGTGTGTTTTGGGTCATTGTCCTGTTGAAAAACAAATGATAGTCCCACTAAGCGCAAACCAGATGGGATGGCATATCGCTGCAGAATGCTTTGGTAGCCATGCTGGTTAAGTGTACATTGAATTCTAAATCAATCACGACAGTGTCACCAGCAAAGCACCCCCACACCATCACACCTCCTCTTCCATGCTTCACGGTGGGAACCACACATGCGGAGATCAACTGTTCACCTACTTTGCGTCTCACAAAGACGCGGCGGTTGGAACCAAAAATCTCTAATTTGGACTCATCAGACCAAAGGACAGATTTCCACAGGTCTAATGTCCATTGCTCGTGTTTCTTGGCCCAAGCAAGTCTCTTCTTCTTATTGGTGTCCTTTAGTAGTGGTTTCTTTGCAGCAATTCGACCATGAAGGCCTGATTCACGCAGTCTCCTCTGAACAGTTGATGTTGAGATGTGTCTGTTACTTGAACTCTGTGAAGCATTTATTTGGCCTGCAATCTGAGGTGCAGTTAACTCTAATTAACTTATCCTCTGCAGCAGAGGTAACTCTGGGTCTTCCTTTCCTGTGGCGGTCCTCATGAGAGCCAGTTTCATCATAGCGCTTGATGGTTTTTGCGACTGCACTTGAAGAAACTTTCAAAGTTCTTGACATTTTCAGGATTGACTGACCTTCATGTCTTAAAGTAATGATGGACTGTCGTTTCTCTTTGCTTATTTGAGCTGTTCTTGCCATAATATGGACTTGGTCTTTTACCAAATAGGGCCATCTTCTGTAAACCACCCCTACCTTTTCACAACACAACTGATTGGCTTAATTGATGAAAAGTTATCCTGGAAAGATCATATTCAATTTGTCTGCAACAAAGTGATTAAATCTGTTGGTATCATCAGAAAGATTAGTGGTTTGGTTCATCAGGCTTACTTCCTAACTCTATACTATAGCTTATTTGATCCATATCTCATTTACTGTAATATTGTCTGGCCCAGTACATAGGCCTCCTACCTACACAAATTACTCATCATACAAAATAAATTTGCAAGACTAGCCACCTCCTCTAATTACCTGGCTCCATCTGCACCTTTGTTTAAGAAACTCAATATCTTGTCTATTTACAACATTAATGTATGCCAATTACGCACTTTCATCTACAAATACTCATACCTCCCAGGCAGTTTACCTAAACCCTTCAATGGATTCTTCTAGGTTAATTCTGAACTCCATCTATATAACACAAGACACTGCGATAACCTTCACCCTCCACAGTGCCGCACCTCACATAGTCAATTCTCTATCAGATACAGAGGTACCATACTCTAGAATTCTTATATTCACATTGCCAAAACATCACCATCCCGCAATAACTTCAAGCGAAGACTGGGGGTCAGCCTGATGAACCAAACTACTCAGTAAACTCTTCCATATAGCCTAACTCTCTCTCACACACACACACACACACACACACACATTTAAACAAAACAAATATTGTTGTTTTTTTTCATGATATTTGATCAATTCATTTATACATTTATAATTAGTAGGTTTTGTTATCTGTTTTAACAAACATTTTTTATTTTTGTTCTTATGTATTGTATATTCTTTTTTGTGGTGTGGTTTTCATATAAGCCCTTGGGCTTCCAACCACACCTGCACACCTTTTTTCATATTTTGTATTTGTTTTTATCTGTATTTTTGTATTTGTATTTATTAGGGATGCTCATTAAGCTGCTGCCAAGGCAGCAGCTACTCTTCCTGGGGTCCAAACAAATTAAGGCACTTACATCACACACAAAACTAAAGACAAAACATCACATCATATAACATTATTACACCACTACACATCTACAATACAACATGTATAATACCACCATACAAAAATATGCTAGCGTTTGTCTGTGTATGCGTGTGTCTCTTCACAGTTCTATAAGGTGTATTTTTATCTGTTTTTTAAATCTAATTCTACTGCTTGCATCAGTTACCTGATGTGGAATAGAGTTCCATGTAGTCATGGCTCTATGTAGTGCTGTGCACCTCCCATAGTCTGTTCTGGACTTGGGGATTGCGAAGAGACCTCTGGTGGCATGTCTTGTGGGGTATGCATGGATGTCCAAGCTGTGTGCTAGTAGTTTAAACAAACAGCTCGGTGCATTCAGCTTGTTAACACTTCTTACAAAAACAAGTAGTGATGAAGTCAATCTCTCCTCCACTTTGAGCCATGAAAGATTGACATGCATATTATTAATGTTAGCTCTCCGTGTACATTTAAAGGCCAGCCGTGCTGCCCTGTTCTGAGCCAACTGTAATTTTCCTAAGTCCCTCATTGTGGCACCTAACCACACGATTGAACAGTAATCCAGGTGCGACAAATCTAAGGCCTGTAGGACCTGCCTTGTTGATAGTGTTGTTAAGAAGGCAGAGCAGCGCTTTATTATGGACAGACTTCTCCCAATCTTAGCTACTGTTGTATCAACAGGTTTTGACCATGACAGTTTACAATCCAGGATTACGCCAAGCAGTTTAGTCACCTCAATTTGCTCAATTTCCATATTATTTATTACAAGATTTAGTTGAGGTTTAGGGTTTAGTGAATGATTTGTCCCAAATACAATGCTTTTAGTTTTTGGAATATTTAAGACTAACTTATTCCTTGCCACCCATTCTGACACTACAGTGGGGAAAAAAAGTATTTAGTCAGCCACCAATTGTGCAAGTTCTTCCACTTAAAAAGATGAGAGAGGCCTGTAATTTTCATCATAGGTACACGTCAACTATAACAGACAAAATGAGGAAAAAAAATCCAGAAAATCACATTGTAGGATTTTTTATGAATTTTTTTGCAAATTATGGTGGAAAATAAGTATTTGGTCAATAACAAAAGTTTCTCAATACTTTGTTATATACCC